ATATTTTATTGATTTTTTACAGAGAAGAAGGGAGAGGGATAGAGAGCCAGAAACATCGATGAGAGAGATCGATCAGCTGCCTCCTGCACGCCCCCCAGTGGGGATGTGCCCGCAACCAAGGTACATGCCCTTGACCGGAATCGAACCCGGGACCCCTGAGTCCGCAGGCCGATGCTCTATCCACTGAGCCAAACCGGTTCGGCTGCAGTGGGTTTTTTATATGTGGCTTTTATGTGGAGGTAGTTTCCTTCTGTTCCAGTTTTGTTGAGTGTTTTTATCAGGAAAGGTGTTGAATTTTGTCAGATGCTTTTTCTTTTGATCATCAATTGAAATGATTATGTGCTAATTTTTCCTTTCATTATGTTGATGTGATATATTACATTAATTGATTTTTATTTCAACCATCCATGATTAAAGTTTGAGAAGAATTGATACTCTTCTTCAACTAAGAATTCAGTGAATTTACTAGAGAAGACATCAGGTACAGAGTTCTTTTGTATTGGGAGATTTTTTAATTAATAATTCAATCCTCTTACTAGTTACGGGTCTCCTCAGATTTTCTGTTTCTTTTATGATTTAGTCTTGGTAGGTTTTGTTTCTAGGAATTTGTCTATTTTATCTAGGTTATCATACTCAATGGTAAAAGTTTTTCCTCTAGATCAGGAACAAGACAAGGATGCCTGCTTTTCACTTCTGTTCAATAGAGTACTGAATGTTCTAGCCAGAGCAAGTCAGCAAACCAAACAAGACATAAAAGCCATTCAAATTTAAAAGGAAAAAGGAAAATTGTATGCTTTAATTGGTTTGTATAATTGTTAATAGTGCATTATTAACAATTTTTTTATTTCTATGGAATCAGTAAGCTCCCCACTTTCATGTCTGATTTTATTAATTTGAGTCCTCTTTTTTATTAGTCCATCTAACTATAGGTTTGTCAATTTTATTGACCTTTTTGAAGAACCAGCTTTCAGTTCGATTTTTTTTTCTGTTTTTCTATTCCCATTTAGGTCTGCTCTAATCTTTATTATTTCCTTCCTTCTGCTAGCTTTGGGTTTAGTTTGTTTTTCCCAGTTCCTTAAAGTGGACTTTTAGGTTATTGATTTGAGATTTTTTTTTTTTGCAAGGTAGGTATTTGCAACTAATAATTTCCTTCTGAGCATTGCCTTGCTGCTTCTCTTAAATTTTGGTATATTGTGTTTTCTAATTTCCCTTGTGATTTCTGCTTTGATACATTGGTTGTTTAAAAATGTATATTTAATTTGCACAATTTTGTGAATTTTCCAGTTTTGTTTTTGATTGCTTCATCTATTGTGGTCTGAGAAGATACTTTGCATGATATGAGACTTAATTGGTAAGCTGACATATGGTCTGTCTTGGAAAATGTCCCATGTGCACTTGAGAAGAGTATGTGCTCTAGTTGGGGAGACTTGTGTAAAAGTCTGTTAGATCTAGTTTATTGTGTAAGTTTAAGTCCTTTTATCTCCTTATTTTCTGTGCGGTTGTTTTATCCATTATTGTGAGGGGGTTATTGAAGTCTCAGCTATTTATTATGGCAGAACTGTCTGCTTTCTCCCTTCAGTTCTCTCAGTTTTTGCTTCATATATTTCGATGGTCTTTGATTAGGTACATAAATGTTTATATTAATAAGAGACTCAATACAGCAAGAAAATACAACAATTATATACTATCTCTTTTGTAAGCTTTTTAAATATTTAAAGTCTGTTTTGCTTGATATTATAATAGCCACCTGCTCTCTTTTGATTACTGTTTGCATGGAACATCTTTTCCCCTCCTTCATTTTCAGCCTGTTTGTGTCTTTCTGTCTCAAGTGAGACTCCCTTAGACGGCATATAGTTGGATCCTGTATTTTTATCCATTCTGCCAATCTGTGCCTTTTGATTGGAGAGTTGAATCCATGTAACTCAAAGTGATTACTGATAGGGGAATGTCTGTCATTGTGTTTATTTACAATACACCCTATAGCTTTTTATTCCTGATTTCCTGAATTCCTGTCCTTTGTTGAGATTTTCTTTTTTGTAGTGAAATGTTTAAATTTCTTTCCTTTGTATTCTTTGTGGTTGCATTACTATGGGGATTACACATAACATCCTAAAGTTATAACTCTGTAATATGAATTTATTCAGCTTCACTTCGGTCACATACAAAAACTGCTCCTATATAGCTCTGTCCCCACCACTTTGGGTTGTTAATGTCACAGAATTACATCTCTGTACATTGTATCCCCAAAGCATAGCTCTTTTAACTTCATTAATCTCCTAAATTATGTAGAAAAGATTTGGAGTTACAAACAAAATGTACAGTAATACATTTTTAAAAATGTATTAGTTTTTTAATTATCTAGAAAACAAAATGTACAGTTATAAGCCATTGTTGCAGTAGCACTAGCTTTACACTTGTCCAGGATTAACCCTCACTGAGATCTTTGGAACTCCCTCCGCTTTTGTTTATCTGGGAATTTTAAAATTTCTTTAACTTTGAAGGATAATTTTGCTGAATATAGGATTCTCTATTTACAGCTTTATCTTTTAGCACTCTGAATGTATCAGTCTACTATCTTCTGGCCTCCAAAGTTTCTAGTGAGAAATCTGATCATATATTGATGATCCTTTACATGTGCCAGTTTGCTTCTCTAGCTACTTTCATGATGCTCTTTTTTAAATTTATTTATTTATTGATTTTTAGAAAAGAGAGAAACATTGATTTGTTACTTCATTTATTTATGCATTCATTGGTTGATTCTTGTATGTGCCCTGACTGGGGATTGAACCCACAACCTTGGCTTATCGGAATGACACTCTAACCAACTGAGCTACCCAGTTAGGGCAGTTCATGATTCTCTTTTAACTTTGGCCTTTGAAAGTGTTGTTATAGCCCTAACCGGTTTGGCTCAGTGGATAGAGCGTCAGCCTGCGGACTTGAAGGGTCCCAGGTTCAATTCCGGTCAAGGGCATGTACCTTGGTTGTGGGCACATCCCCAGTGGGGGATGTGCAGGAAGCAGCTGATCCATGTTTCTCTCTCATCGATGTTTCTAACTCTCTGACCCTCTCCCTTCCTCTCTGTAAAAAATCAATAAAATACATTTTTAAAAGTGTTGTTATAATATGTATTGATGTGGGTCTCTTGGAGTCATTGAGCTTTTTGAATGTTTATGTTCATATTTTACATTGGGAAGTTCTCAGCCATTATTTCCTCAAATATTCTCCCTGCCCTTTTCTCTTTCTTCTGGGAACCCAAAAATGCGTATCTTGGTATCCCACAGATCCCATAGGCCCTATTTGATTTTCTTCAATCTTTTCCTTATACTTATTTGTAACTTATTTTTATTTTAGAGAGAAGGAAGAGGGATAGAGAGATAGAAACATCGATGAGAGAGCGAGACATCAGTTGGCTGCCTTCTGCATGCCCCCCCTACTGGGGATTGAACCCACAACCCAAGCATGTGCCCTGACTGGGAATTCAACTGGGGACCTCCTGGTTCTTGGGTTGATGCTCAACCACTGGGCTTCCTTATACTTTTTTTATTATTATTAATTTTATTATTAGTGTTTAATCCTCAGCCAAGAACATATTTAGAAAGAAGGAGGGGGAAAGAGGGAAACATGGATTGGTTACCTTCCCTACACTCCCCAACTGGGAATCAAACCTGCAACCCAGGTATGTGCCCTGACCAGGAATCAAACCTTTCAGTGCACGGATGGCGCTCAACCATCTGAACCACTCTAGCTGGGCCTTCCTTATACTTTTTAATTTCCGTTGTGTCCCGTCTTATGCCTGCTCAGATCTGCTTTTGAATTCCTCTAGCGAATTTTTCCACTTCAGGTCGTAGACTTTTCAGCTCCAGATTTTCTTTTTTTTTTTAAATTGATAGTTCCATTTTGTTCACACATGTTGACTTTCTCCGCATGTTCCCTTAGTTCTTTGAGTATCTTTAATAGTTATTTAAAGTATTTGACCAGTATAGCTGCCATTAGGGCCTTTTTATGGACAGTTTCTGGTGATTTTTTCCTTTGAATGGTCATACATTTCTGTTCCTTTGTACGCCTTGTGATTCTTTATTGAACACTGGGCATTTGAATCTAATAATATGATAACTCTAATTCTTTTTCTTCCTCTCTTCAGGGTCTGTTGTTGGCTGTGCCAAGAATCAGCCTGATATGTAAACTAAATATCTTCTAGGCCTTTTCTGAGCCTCTCCTAGGGCATGCACACCATTAATATTCACTGTCTATGCAGTTGGTTTTGAATGTCCTAATCTTTAATTTCTGGCTCCCCAAAAGGGGAAACTAAAGGGTACTGGACCTTTAACTTTCCTGGAAGTCACTTCAGTTGAAGAGAGGGGGCTTGTGACAATGAGATAAACATCATTGACCTCCCCTCTGTCTGTACCTCTGTGATCAGAAATAGCAGTCAGCATAGATCTCCGCTGTTTGAAGGACAGGCCCTTTTTATCCACCCTGGCTCGCACAAGCTGCTCCAGGAACACGTACACAGCTGCCTGCATCGTGGTGGGTAGCTGCTACTCTGCTAGGAGCTGAAATTGGTCAAAATTAACCACAACTTGCTGTCCAACTCTTCCCCTGGAAGTTGCAAGCCCTCAACAAACTCCAGAGTTCCATAGTAGTCAACTTCCGAAAGATTCTGCCAGTGCAGTTGTTGTCCAGGTGGGGAGACAGATTCCTGTTCTTTCATCTGCTCAGAGTCCTCTCAAGACCTTTGTAAGGACATATAAATGTTTGTGTGCTGATGGTAATGACCCAGTAAAGAGAAAACAAGTTGTTGTGCCAGGTAAGCTTGAATTTGTTAGTAACAGTCATTCCATTGTTTCCTGCCATTCTGCTCAGTACATAAAACATATTCTGATATTCTTGGCAATGATGTTATTTTAAGGTTGAGCCAAAAAGATGTTCAAAATCACAACTTGAAAAGTCTATAATGTTAACCAGTTTCTTGTGTACTGAACCTCTGATTTCTCCTCTAGTGCTACAACTGTGAGGAGGAGGCCATGTACCACTGCTGCTGGAACACATCCTACTGCTCCATCAAGTGCCAGCAGGAGCACTGGCACGCCGAGCACAAGCGCACCTGCCGCCGGAAAAGATGAAGACGGTTCTTGCTGGAGAGTCACCGATGATTGCTCTTCTCAGACACAACGGTTTTTGTTTCCAAGAAGCCAAAATTGTTTAGAATTTGCTTCCCATTTTGCACCAGCCTTTAAACACTTTTCGTGAAGAGATTTTGCACAGTAGTTTAAATCTTTTGTTAATGTCCCTCTGGAATTTTTCGGGGGTAAAAGTAACATCAGTGGAGGGTATTATTTTAAATAAAATTTAATTGAGAATTTGTTGCATTTACAGCAAATTTTAAAACATTTTTAGGTTTTACAGAGATTTTAACCTTTAAACAACAGATCTTTAAAAAAACAACTGGTGAACACAAGTGAGTTTAACAAATAAACATTTAAAATAGATCTGAATGTAAGAACTAAGGACTGTTTCAGAAATAAAACATACTACCTGATGTGAAATTTATTTCTTAACCTTGTTGAGCTGGTTTTGTTCAGCTTAATTTACTGTTTAAAGGCATTATCTATTGGTTATGCCAGTGGGTATATGATTGAATTTAGGGAACAGGGTTGACACAGCAGGTGCTAGTCCTGCATATTTTTTCTTAAATATTTCCCAATTGTGTTTTTCATTTTCTTTTCAATATATAACTTTTATAACAAATTATTAGCTTTGATCTTGTAGTTTAAAATTGCAGGGAACTGGGTAATCTTTTACTGAGCTGGATCTTAGAGAAAATGAATATTTAAATTTTAAAGTTTGCACATTTCATCTTTATTCTAACATGAGTGCTTGTAACAAAATAAACAACAAAAATAAAATAAGCCAAAAACTACCTTAATCCATACATGAAATTATAGATGGGGCATACAAATTTATTGACTGCTTCCCTTCCCTCCCCAAATATCGATTGCCTATTATCTGGTGTCACCTCATATATTATAAGTTAATGCTAAAAGGAAAGAAAGCACTTAAGTTTCACAGAAGCCGTTATGTTTGTGGTAATGGGTCATTGCCTACTAATGAACCCCATCACTGTACACAGAATGAAGAATAATGCATGTTAATTTTCTTGTATTAAAGATGCCGTGGTTTGTAAAAAGTCTGTATTTTGCGGAATGTCTGGATGAAGAAGCATTACCAATAGGAATGGATCGATAGTTGAATAATGATTTTTTTTATACATAGATATATAAAATACAGCCAGAAAAACTGAAATTACTTTTTTTTTAAAGAAAAATCTCACAATTTATGTTTTTTTCAAAGACTGATCTTAGACCAAGTCCAATTCCCATTTATCATTTAGTTATTTTTTAAGGTTAGAGAAATAATTTGTAAATATTTATTTAGACCTTTGATATTTATTAAAGCAATTACACACAATGGAAGTGAAAGAATCAGGAGAAAAACCTTTTAAAAAGTTTTCTCTAGGTTTGTCAGGGTCACTCTAAAGTTAAAAATGTAACCAAGTCTTCTGTGAAATAATGATTCACCCAGTCCTGGTGCTGTTGCAGATGGCGGTGACACAAGTTAATTGACAAGCTCCTGCCCAGTGGTGCCCAATGGCTCATAGGAACTGCCTGGCGCCGTTTCAACACCACCCTGAACTACGCAGTGGCTTGCATCTGGTCCTTCCTTGTTGCTGTGTGATTAGTCAGTGTTGCCACGTGCCGTGGTCTGGTTGAAACATCGTAACCAAGAACACTTACCTTCTCTTGATCATTTTTCAAGTTTTAAAACTTCGATCCACCCCTATGAGAGCAAGTTATTGTGGAAATACTTTCAATGTAAAACCATTCCAGAGTGTGTACTATTTACTGATAGCTGCATGAACGTAAGATTCGTGTTACTTTGGCTTTTTTGTCTCCGTTGATACGGTTGCACATTTCCAAGTTACTACAGTGTGAAAACTGTGTGTTAAAAAAAAAAATTTAAAAAAGATTGTGGCCTGGTTTTGTAAAAGTTTTAGGTAAAATTACAATTGATTGTTTTAGGAATCATTAAAATATTTCTGCAAATCATAAAGCTATATCAAGATGTTGAGCTTAGCCACTATGCACATTGTAATTATTCATTGTGGCTGTCCAGTTCTATGATGCATTCTGGCATTTTGTAAGCTGCTCTGACTAGCAATATATAGATTCATTTAATGTGTTAACATTGGTTAATAAATGTATTTAAAAAAACTGGCTTTAATACATTGGTGATTTAGTCCAATTCGCTTTACCAAACCAAACACTTATCACATGGTGGTCATGGTTATCCATTGGTGACTGTTTAACTTCATATGAGAACAGTGTGTGGAAAATCATTCATTTACTTAAACATTTAAGTTGAACTTTTACCAACTTTCAGAAAGACTCAAAATACTTTTACTGGTTCTCAAAAAATTCAGGTTGGTTAACTACAAAGCTTGTTTTCTTAATCCTTACACTAGGCTGAACAAACAGAAAATTATTCCATAAACACTGGAAGTTTGTCAGTAGCATCAGTGTCAGTACATCAAGAACCAAATCCATTGTCGCTCCACTTCTCCAACCAGTTTACATGAACCAGTCTCAGCTCATGTCAGCTTCACCCTCCTCCTCATGCAATAATTGGCTTGGCCCTCCCTTTTGCCTCCAGTATCTAATTCAGTGGTTCTCAGACTTCAGAAGCAGGATCACAGGAGAGCTCGTTAGTCATTACTGGCCTGATGCATGCATTTGCGTTCTAACAAGTTCCTAATATTGCTAAGGGGCTCACCCTTTCACAACGACTACTTTACTAGGAGAATCAATGCACCATTTCGTGAAAAATCATACACATCCATGCACAAAATGTTTTTTTTTTTGCAGATTCCTAGGTCTCATCTATAGACTCCCCACCCCCAGGACTCTGGTCCCTCAGGTTAATCCCTAATCCAGCGGGATTGGAAAAGCAAAAACGTGAGGTGTAAAGAGAACGATGGTGTCCTGTACTGTGCTCGACATCAGACCTCAAACTCGAGTCCCATGATCACCTGAGGGGGTCTCCTTAAAGTGCAGAATCTGACTCAGTAGGTCTAGGGTCAGTGAAGCTGGTAATTCTGCTCTTTCTCATAAGCCTCCATGTGACTGATTCTGCTGGTCATGGAACACCCTGAGAGGCCAGGTGTTAGAGGGTATGTACATTCACAAAAGATCAACACTGCTAGGCTGAAATATAAGCTGCATAAAACAGTGCTGTCAAGTGAAAGTGTGTAATATGGGACACCTGTGCAATTCTAAATTATCTAATAAAGGTGAAAACTAATACAGCCAATACATTTCAGCTTCTATATATAATAGAGGGATATGCAAATTACCCAGGACAACATCACATTATGACCATTCACAGGTTGGGTGGGGCAGAACTCTGGGTCTAGAGCAATATCATCTGCCCAGGCAGACTCTCCCACAGCCCTGCAGCCGAATCCTGACACCGACCTGGGGTTTATTAAACTTTACTGGAACTGCTCCCCATACTGCCACCCACTGCCCCAGGACCACATTGCCCACAGCAGGGCACCCCTGCAGCCTCCTGACAGGTGGACGGCCAGGGAGAGCTGAGTAGGGCGGGGGCTGCAGGGAGCCATGGAGGAGCGGGGCGGCTGGAGCCAAGTTCCCAGAGGTCTGAGGGGAACCCCTGACAGGAGCCCAGACTGCAAAGAAGGTAGAGGAAGCGGCCATGGGGAGCTCTTCCAATACCCCTGCATGGACACCCTACTTCAGCACCCATACCCCTGGGGAGGCGGGGAGGCTGACCAGACTGGGAGAAGACCCAGTCTCGGGGTAGCTGCAGTCCGCACCTCCGACTCCCGATCTCTTCCCCCGTCAGGGGCGCCCACAACAATAGCACCAGCGACAACTTGTCAGCACCCCCAAGGCACCGGGGCCGCAGCCAGCCGCTGCTGGGGCCAGGCATGCCTCTCTTCCCTACAACTCCAGACCTGGGTAGAGGCAGGCCTGAGCAGCCCCCCAGCGTCAGACCCATCCCCCCCTCCAACAGCAGTAGCCAGACTCATGGCTGGTGAGCACAGCGACTGTGGTGGGAGCCTCTCCCGCCTCTGTGGCAATGCTAAGGATGTCCGACTGACGTCTTAGGCCCCCTAGGCCATCAGTTGGACATCCCCCCAGTGCTCCCGGACTGCGAGAGGGAGCAGGCCAGGCTAAGAGACCCTCCCCAAGTGCATGAATTTCATGCACCAGGCCTCTAGTTTAATATAACAATGAATGAAATAGTTTACATTCTTGTTTTGTACTAAGTCTTCAAAATCCAGTGTGTGTCATATGCTTTCAACACACCTCTATTTGGACTAGCCATATTCCATCATAGGTGGCTGATGACCACCCCAGATTGGACAACAACAGCTTTGTCTTACCAAGTGTGTGTCCACATCAGCACCTTATTTGTAGTCAATACTCAACCAGCAAATGTGTATTAGAGGACCTACTTGATACCTAGGAGCCAATAAAAAAAAAATCAGTCTTTGTCAGAATTTGAGCTCTGAGGGTAGGCTCATGCACAGTCTGTTTCAGAGTCGGATTTGAAAGGTTAGTAATCATCTAGTCAACAAGTCCTAAGTTAGCATTTCAATTAGGCAGCCCTGAAAAAGCTTCCTAAGATTCCGTTTGGCTCAACAGGGCAATTTGAAAACCTGTATCTAGTCCAACTTCTTAACCTCATACTGGAGAGGAAGCTGAGACCCAGAGCCACTCAAAGTCAACATCCATGTTCCTAACATCATGTCTCTTCTATAGCCCCTTGAAGACTGCAGGTGGCTGTATAGCGTCTTGCGAGCTCCTAATATCTAGAAATAGGGCAGAGTATAACTGAAGGTGGAGAATGCTAAGGAAATTCAGGAGACAGTATAGACATTATTAATTTGTTCATTTAACAAATACTTGAGCCCTAGCCGATTAGGCTCAGAGGATCAAGCCTGTAGACTGAAGGGTCCCAGGTTTGATTCCGGTCAAGGGCAGATGCCCGGTTGCAGGCTCAATCCCGTGCAGGAGGCAGCTGATCAATGATTTTCTCTCATCATTGATACTTCTATCTCTCCCTTCCCCTCTCTGAAATCAATAAAAATATATTAAAGCGCACACACACACAAACACAAATACTTGAGCTATAGCATCTGTGTTTGATGCTGATCATATGATAATGAGCAAAATAGACATACTTGCTGTCCCTATAGAGTTTAGATTCTCGTGAGGGCATCAATTAAATAAAAGCAACATTCTTCCTATATATCAGAGTTAGGTGCAAGCAAGAATACATACAAGACTACAGGATACAGAGAAAGGATAACCCTTAGGAGGGGAAAGAATGAGGAAAGGCTTAAAAAATAATATGTAAGCTGAATCTTGAAAAGTGAACAGGAGTCAGCCGGAGAAGAATGTCATTTGCGGACCCAATATTGATCTGGGGTGAACCATTTCCCCCCACATTTGTATTCTGAACATTTTAAAATCAAGAAAAAAAATTAGAAAAATAAGTCTTGCCCTGGACAGTTGGCTCAGTAGGTTGGAGCATTGTCCAGGACACCAAAAAGTGTCTGGGTTAGATTCCCGGTCAGGGCACGTACAGGAAGCAATCGACCAATGCTTCCCTCTCACACTGACCTCCTCCTTCCTCTCTAAAATAAATAAAAACATCAGGTGAGGATTAAAAAGGAAAAAAGAAAAATAAGTCTTCTCTAGAGAAATCAACAGGGCTAAGGGTTATAGGACAGTAATTTTTTTTCCAAGTAATGAGAGATCTGACAAGGTTAAGGAGCCAGCAGACTGGAAGAGGGATTGGGGTGATGCCATGGGGATAAAAGGCACAAGTGACTACAGAAGGCAAAGGATAAAGAAGTGAGCGTTTGAGAAGACTACTCTTGAGAAGTTTGTTGTTGATCGGGAGAAGGAAAATAGAGAGAAATTGTATTTAGGACGAGAAGAAAATAGGAGTGACAGCATCTTGGCAGCAAAAGATATTCCTCCTGGTCCTCTTTTGTAAACAACAAATTAGACATCCATTTGTGGGCAAAAGTGCCTGGGTAGCAGGCCAGATTAGGTTTGGACAAAACGAATAAATTGTATTTTCTCTGTTATAAAAGAATAGCAATCCAGTCTTTTCTAGCTCGTTTTAAAGAGAATCATCAAGATTCAAAAAGATTAAGCTATAATTCTTATCACCTTTTAGTAATTCTGGAAACTGAGTATCTACTAATGGGGGGGCCAGACAGATGGACTGTGGACCACACGTTTTTGTTTGTCTCCAATATGAATCTTGTGCTTTGTGTTCAGTGTCTTCCTGCTGTTGATCCTCAAGCCAAAAAGTGGGGGCTCTGCTTACAAATAAATCACTCTGACATTTCAATTTGGATCTTACACGGGTTTCCAGGGACTCGATCAGTGGCACAAAGAATGGTCTTAGGCAGTGTCCCAAGGGTCCCCCCCCCACAGCCGCCTCCTGGAGAGGGGCTGGGACACCTCCCCCAGCTGCCGGCGGGGGGGGGGGGGGGGGCTCCTCTCCCTGGGCCTGGGGCTGAGAGACGCAGGTATTCCACTGCTTGTCCTTATCCCTGGCTGCCCTGAGCCTGGGCCTTGAACAGGAAATAGAAAATTAAAGAGTTCAAAGACAGTATGGGGGAGGGAGCAGGAAGGTGGCAGAAGCATTCCTGTTGGAGCTTTCAGAAGCGCAGCATTTCAAGGAAGAAGGTGCCCGTGTAAGGAAAGTCTCCCAGCGCCTGCCATCAGCACGTGCCCTCAGTGCTCCTGGGCGTCAGCAGGCCCCTTATCTGCTTGGAAGCGATTTTCCCTCAAGTCTGTTTTTGCACCATTCATTCCTGTCTCTCGAAACAACAGAAACCAAAGCCAGTGGCTCTGAAACCCACAGTGCAGCTCGGGGTGGCAGCTGCCTCCCGGCCCCGTCTGGCCAAACCAGCTTTTTAAAAAAAAATCCAACTCAGATCCATATTGAACTTTTCTTTGCAAATCTGTCCTTTCCCCGGACGGATGTAGCCATTATGACTGGTGCCTTCATTTGCTTACACGTTCTTACTTGGTCTCCCAGACATCTGCTAGTTCCTTCAGGTCAGGAGCCACGTTCCAATGGTCTCAATCTGAGATACACATCCTTCTCTCTTCCCCCACCTCCTTTTCCCTAAAAAACAAACAAACAAACAAAACCCTCACCTCTCACAGTAT